TGTCTGTTCCCCTTCCCCCAATTCCCCAGCACTGTTCCCATCCCCCCAATTCCCCAATAAAAATCTTTAAAAAAATAAAATAAAGAGACTATATATATATATATATATATATATATATATATATATATATATATGGGAAGGGGAAATGGAATAACAAGAAGGCAGAGGTGATTTGTAAGCAGAGAAGAAAGGAAACCTAGCAGTTCTTACAAGAAACAGTTCTTGAATTACCAAACATCTCTTCAATTTGTATTTCAGAAAGAAGCTACTTTTCAAGACTAGTTCCCCGCCCCCAGCCCCATATATGTGGTCAGTGCCGTAGTTAAGACCATCATCACTACAGAGAGCAGACAAAATATGTTATATATTTGTGTGTGAATGTTGATAGAGATATAGATGTTTAATCAATAACTTTTTGGGATAGGCAGGATAGAGGACAAGGAAGGAAAGAGGAAGTTGGATATATTTAAGCCTTTCACCAGTTGGTTACTATTAAATTTATGGAAAGACTTTCTCTATACAGGTAAGCCAAGCAGACTCCCCATCCCCTAGCCCTGCCTTAATTCATTACCCTTCCCATTCTCACAGTTGATTCTCCAGCCATAACAAACCAAATCCATGTTTGCTGTGCCATCTGCTCAAATGCCCTACCTTCTCTCATTCTCATGGTTAACTTCTATTTCTCTTTCAAGAACCTGGCAAGGCACCACCTGTTCTAGAAAAATCTTCCTTGTCGTTAGTCCAGATTAAATGCCTCTTCTTTGTAGTCCCACAGTACACACTGCATTCCATTGGAAAATAGTGTGCCTTTCTCACAAGTCCTTCAGACCAAGTGTGCGTCACATTCATCTTAGCAACTTAAGAATCTGGCAAGAGTTGGTCCTGACAGGTCTGTTGAATTTGTTTTGAACTACAGTCTGCCTCGTTACAAGCTCCCACTGAACAACCCTCATGATCTCTGCTCAGAAGTCTGTTCCCATTATGTACTCACCTGCAGAAACAGCCCAGGAGTCAAGGCTCAGTTACATTTCCTCCCAGTTAGACCCCTTTAGAGGACGTCCACTAGGTTTTATTCTTCTAGCAGATTCTAAATCCTCCTCCACCCCCTCCCCCTCCACAATAAGACATTTTCATGTCTAACAAATACATTATTTATTTTGGATCAAACCAAAAATAATGAACACATTTTTAAACACTCACAACACTAATAAAGAGAGATTAGTCAGATACTCAAAAAAAATCTATAAACAGCATTGTTCACAACACCCAATGTGTTTGTTTTGAAATGGTGCATTCATGAAAATATAGTTTCGAAATGAACAAAAATATGATTTAATAACAAGTATATTGAGAATTGTCTTTTTTAAAAACTTAATTTTCAATAGATTAGTCAGCAACTATTATGTATACAATATATCCAAATTGAAATCAAAGTGGAGATAGAAAAGCAATTTGGGACTGGTGTGCCTGTTCTTTGTGGTCTATGGTAATCTGCCCCAGGAAAGACCAGTTAACTGATGACGCCCGCACCATGGAAACTGGCTTCCTTAATCTATTTCATTTCACCCTTGACTGTTTTGGTTAAATCACAAATCCACTGTTTCTCAGGACTTCAATTTCTAACTTCTCCCTACCTGATCCCCGTATCCAATTTATTGTAAAGGGCAAGATATGGATACAGATACCTGATGTTCAATGTGATTTATTTCTGCAAATTTGTTATCAAGCTATAAATGAGCCAAATGCTTTTAAATATTGTATGCACCGGGTCAGAATTAAAAAGAAGTGTTAGAAAAACATCTAACTATTTCATTGTTTTGTATACCTGAAACTGTTAAAATGAAGAAGAAAATGAAGAAGAGGAAGAAGAAGAAGTAGCAGCAGAAGAGGAAGAAAGAAGGAGAAGCAGAAGGAAGAGGAGGAGGAAGAGGAGGAGGATTAATAATAATAATAATAATAATAATAATAATAATAATAATAATAATTGACTGGATGACGCGAAAAGCTTCCACTCCATCCAGAAGTTATTTTCTTAGCACAGGGATAATTGGTTTGTGTTAGTTTTAAGCTATCATTCAAACATGGTAAAATTTCTTCTATGTAAACTTTGCATTTTGTGGAAATAAATTAAACACTGATATTAAACATAAAAAACAAAACAACAGACATATAATGAAAGGTACTAAACATGTGCTACAATGTCCTCACAGTAGCCTGAAGTTTAATTAAGGGCATGCTACAGACAGGCCACACAAAGGCAGCAATCCAGAATTGTCCAAAAATGCTCATTATTTATTTGGAAGATCGAACAGCCAGGAAAACCCTATTCTCACCTGAGTCTATCTCAAATTTTACTTTTAAGGCCAAACAATGTGTTTTCAATAAAATTTCAAATCTATTCACTTTCCCCCTTATATTAGCATATCAGTTGACATTAATATGTCAATGGCTTGCATATCCTATTTCCTGCCCAGACAATACATGCACTTGCAATTTCCAAGGTACCTTAAATGTAACATAAAGTTGAATTCCAGTTGCTACCACTACCCCATACCTACCTTCTTCTAGTATGTACTATTTCAGTAAATGGCACAAGTTTGTACCAAGTTGCAAAAACCAGAAACCAGGAGGTCACCTGTGAGCCTGCTCATACACCTCACTTGTCTATGTTGAATCCATCGATAAACCCTGCATTTAATTCCTGTGAAAAAACTCTTCATGTACAGCTACTGCATTCAATCTCTGGTGTCACTACACTAATTCAATCAAGTAGGATTTCCTAACTGCTCTCTCTACAGGCAATCTTGCCCCATTCTTTAACCTTCTAACTTTCTTTTTTTTTAAACCTTTGCTGGTTTAAAACCTTTGTCCATTGATTTTTCTTTTTTAATTGGGGACTTGGGGAAGGGGAACAGTGTTGGGGAATTGGAGAAGGGGAACAGCCTTCTCCAAATTTTTTGAAGTTTTTGTGCTTCAATCTTAGTTGTGGAAAGCACAGCTAGCTCAGCTCCAACTCCAGTCGCCATCCAGCCACCCATCCGCAGCTGCCGACCACTCAGC